AACCTGGGCCGCTCCGGTGTCTCCGCTCTCAATTTGCTTAACTTCAGTTGCAGTACCTCCCGCCGTTATCGTTATTGGCTAGACATACCCTCAGTTGGGAGGCGTTCAAGTCTCCGTAGATCTCGACAGTTTCCTTTTTAATAGTCTTTTGCAGCTCCCAGACGCGGTCAGTTCCCTTAATAACGACTGGAAACACCGTCCAACGATCAAACACCATAGCTCCAGCTCTTGTAGAAAAAGAAATGCTCAAGAGCCTAAGCGTAATTAGCTGATACATAATTTATTAGCGTAAAAAGGCTAGGGGCATAGATAATCTTATATTCAAGAAGCAAAAATAGACCCACCAGCATTGTTTACGAGTGCTCTTTCATGAATTATCGAGTGCAAAGTATGCTTGAGGTGCCGAACGTGGGCAATACGGTCAAATGACAATGTCGAGGAGATATCAGAGTGTAAACGGACCTTTAAGGTAGAAGTTTTGGGCTGTGCTCTTAGTTGATTAAAAAGTGCTCATCGTTATTGATTTTCTTTAGCCTGCAAAGGGAATATTAGCGTCACCACCACTTGTTAGGTTCATTTACGTGACTTTGAAAATGTAACAAGGCTGCCACAGCGATAAAGACTGACACTTACCGGTTTAAGCGTTACCACTGGCTAAGACTTGGTTGTTTTGTATCTGCACTCGAAAGTGCACTCAAAAACCATTCCTATCCGTCACGTTTCCAGTCCAGGATTATTGCTGGAGGCACTAGGTAGTGGAGTACAGGGGATGCGACGTGACTTGGGAGGAAAGACGCACCTGCGTTATGAGAAGCAGCTCCATATTTACTAGGTTAAGCTCAACGAACGCCATGTACAGACTAAGAGAGACACTAACACTTGCTGAGATCGATGCTCTGCTGGACCAGATCTGCTCGACCATCGCGTGCATTGGCTGCTATCTGGGGGCCGCCATTGACGACTTCGTGACGTGCAGGCTTGATTTCTACGCTAGCAGTTTCTGTACCGGGCTATTTGGTGCCGCTGTCGCAAGTCTCATGCATGTTGTGGGTAGGTCGTCGCTCTCGCTGCCCTTATCCGGTCAGCCACCAGCTGATATGAGTGCGCTTTTCACACGGACTGGTGAGAGGGCAAACTCTGTTCTGTACGAGACGAACATCATTCACGAAGTGCAGCGACTGTCGTGAGCTGGGGGAGAACGCTCAGCTTCAAGCAAATTTAATTTTATGATGCTTTCGTAAAAGCTGTTGGAATGTAATAATTGAGGTTATTAACCACTTTTTACTTAATAATGAAAAAACTTTATTCCAAGATGTGAAACGGCTACGTTTTCTAACCGTGTGGTTGGTAGAGAATTGCGAGATGGCATACATGATCAGAGAATGCGAGCGGGAACTCACATCACAAGAGCTGGAGCTATGGTGTTTGATCGTTGGAATGGTCGGTACGGCGTTTCCAGTCGTTATTAAGGGAACTGACCGCGTCTGGGAGCTGCAAAAGACTATTAAAAAGAAAACTGTCGAGATCTACGGAGACTTGAACGCCTCCCAACTGAGGGTATGTCTATAACGATAACGATAACGGCGGGAGGTACTGCAACTGAAGTTAAGCAAATTGAGAGCGGAGACACCGGAGCGGCCCAGGTTTGCTGCCAACAGCTTGTTCATGTATTTGCCAATTGAATGCGTAAGAAACGAGCAATCTCCTTTGAGAAATGCATTTCACAGCGAGCACTAAAATAAAAACTTGTCTCATACTTTTTATAAGCCATTGATGAGTGCTAAGAAAACAATTCTTGGGATGTCCGTAGAACGAAAGATTTTCCCAGTGACACGCGAATGTACCCGCCCTAATAAGAAAGTCCACCTTCCCGAAAAGACGAGACTTTTGCGCGAAATTTACGTTTTGTGCGTGAAAAGGTCAACAGCACGAAAAACATATTTATCACATCCGGAAAGGGATACAATACAGTACCAAGAATACGTGACATTAACACTTGAAGTACAGAATTTCCCGTCCTACCTTCAGCAACGGAAATCGTCACACGACTTTGATTGATTTTTACATATCTTTTACTACACTCGTTAGTATGAGAGATGCCCTGGTACAGTAGCAATTTGAGCATAAAACAAAGAGAACGATAGTTCACCGCCTGGTTCCATTGCCCTTTCCGTCGTTGGGGGAATGTACATTAATACTTCGCGAAAGGAAAAAAGTCCAACAACGTTTTATTTTTTCTCCAACTTTTATTTAACTCGTGTTAATTTTAGAAGTATTTTAGTATCGTCGTGTTTGCGCACTCCGTCAGCTCTTAGGATAGCGACATATTTGAAGAGAGAGGGGGGTCGGGCAGCTGCTTGATTCCAGTGCTGTAGTACTGTATAAACACACCGTTTCTGAATCAAACTGCGAATTTCCCAGATCAAAAGAAAGATTAGATTAAAACAGATACATGATAGATTAACATCAAAGGAAAAATGGCCTCGTCTTATCATGATCGTTTGGTAGGCACTGTAAGATCAAACAGGCTACACATGTAAGAAAGGTGATGGGATGATAAGTATAAAATTCTGAATCTCTTTGACAGTTGTATAAATTTGATTATGAAATGTGTTCATTTTATCATACTAAAGATATGATCATACAGTGATATCCAACCGTACTCGATACATATTTGATTCCACCGGTTAAATGATAATACTGTTTTTTTTTAAGTGGATATAAAATGAAAGAAAAAAATCCGTCAAATGATGTTAAAATTTGTATTTCTGGCGATAAGAAGGCAGCGTATACCAGATCTCCTACCTCAGATAGATCTCCAAGTTCATACCGCATCGCCCCTCTCCTAAGCGAACGCTCATGTACGACATTTACGTGTAAGATTACTAGCTAATCTCATAATTAATCCAAAAAATAAAAACATTACCCCGAGCTGTACCAGTTGAATGTCCCGTTCGTGAACGACCTGCCTCCGCTAATTGAAAGTGATCCGCTGGTGAGAGCTGTTAATATCATTTCGCTCGAACAGCTCTAGCTATTTGTGCGCTGTCACTCTTCGTATTGCTTCTTTATCAACCCCCATCAGAGTCTGATTCAGACTGCTGCCAATAATTAGCTCGCGGAAGGACACATTAAGCGTGCAGCCATCTGTTTTAAATAAAGCACCGCCATTGGTCATAATCGAAGTTTGCTTGCGATACTGTACAGTAGAAAAGGTGCTAGACTGATATTGACAAGCATTTTCAAAACAAAAAATCAGGAATACGACTTAGTGCCCAGCAGCAAATTCAAGAACAGGCCATATCCACGGATACAACACAACAACTTCAATTTTTAATGTCTGAAGTAGGAGATATCGTAAACGATACGGTTTTAATGTGGTTTCACCCGAAATTAACATCTAAATGGGTCGCACTTTGTCAGGTGCCATACAGTACTCTCCCCAAATTACACTGATTTGGAACATCAACCTCCGTGTCATACTATACATGTTGTATGGATCTAGTTTTAAAGAAGATTATCGTGTCTCTTTGCATAGAAATCACCATGACTGGACGTAGCGAAAGCGTACAAATATTTTTCGTGCTTGCTTGAACAGGGGCTTCAAAAATGAATTGGGGTTGTTTTTCGTTGAACGGCGAATACAGTGTACTGTACAGTGTATAATCTCTCTTGCTTTGACATATCCCTGGCAGTGTACGCGTGAAATATCTCGGCGAGTTCTTCGTTGCTAATCGTGACGACATTTAGTACACACACAAGGAAAAAATTCTCCAGCCAGGAAACCTGGATCTCAAGGCTGAGATGGTGCACTTTAATGCCTCTTCGTTGTGCTATTTAGCACGTACCTGTATCTGCCAGCATTTTTTTGAACTCATGCTGATGTACGTTCTTGGGTACTCCTATTTCGTTTATTTCAGCTCCACCTACTGCTGCACTTTCTGACTGTACAGCAGTACTGTACCTCCATCTGTAACATGCACCTGGCAGACCCTGCGATTGGCAGTGCCAATACTATTAATACAGTAATACCACAGCTAGATTTACGATTGACGTTTGGGCTCCCTTTGTCACAGGGATCACACTGTGAACCGCAGGGCCTGTGTCTTAATACTACTTCGTCGTACTGTGCACGTACCCGATACTGAGATAGGCGGGTTCATGACGTTCAGTAGGTCCCGGATAAAAACAACTACATGTAATACTGTAGATTAACATTGTGGATGCAGCCTCACCAGAACTACAATACCTATTACAGTAGAAGTATAATCAAGTAATAACCGGGAAAATCTACTTAACGTATCTAGAATGTACCACTACGACGGTACAACTACCGACGAGCACCCAATTAAAGCATGTTTAGGAATCCAGCCCCCATGACGGCCCCAGGAGAAAGACATGTTAATCAGCCGCAGGCTTCGTTTTCATATGACCAATAAAGTGTTCATTTCAGTTGCATCAGCAGCCTACTTATCGTGTAAAACTATTTGGGATATCATGGGGTCCAATTTAATGTCTATGCTTATTCTCATTAGATGCAAGCAGATACAGGCTCGTTTTCTTAGTTTAAAGTCTTCAATGGTCCTTTGGAGGTTATTATTTCCCAAAAATCCTGCACTCAATTCTCGAAAGTTGAATAAACTGCATTGCTAATTAAACTAGAAACGCAAGGTTATGGACTGTAAAAGAGACATTTATGGTGCATTTTATGGGTTACAGTGAGCTTAGAATGAAAATCACTCTCTGGGAAAGCCCAACGCAAAAAATACTATTGTTTGAAAAGGCGCAAAAGGCGTGTCAAGGGCAGACGAGTATATCACATGAGCGTGATCGGGATAGGCTTCAGATTTATTATCGACACTGCGGCATGCAAATCAATCCAATCGCATGACCGTCCGGTGGACTCCAGCTGCTCAATTTTCGAGACCCGCAGCCATATGCAGTTCTAAACTTACCAGCAAGCCAGCAAGACACCACATCCGTCAAATACTAGCCCAAACATGCGTCTCTCTGTTATCCTGTTGCTTTCTGAATCAACAGCTCTCGTTGCCTCTGGCAGCACGCTGTCCATCGAGACCGACGCTAAACCAAGGTCACTCCGGTCAATCAAGTATGCTGCCTACGCGGAAGAAGAACGCGGACTTGGCTTCAATGCAAGCGAGCTAAAGATTTTGAAGGGTTTGTCAAATACTCAATTCCACAGAATGGCGAACGACCGCGAGTATCTGAAAATGATTTTCACCTCGTGGAAACAAGGGATGAAGTCGCACGAAGAGGCTGCACGGTACATGAGAAGCGAAGGCGTTAGTGATTCCGCGATACGGCACTTCCTGGCAGCGTATCAGCAACACAAGACTTAGTTTGCTAGTGCTCAAGGTGTTCACATCCACCACCTGGTGAGAAGTAGACTCATTCGCTTGTTGAAAGTTCTTCTAAAGCAGTAGTGTTGTTCCGCAGCATTCGTTTTTGCTCACCAGTAAGCACCAGAGGAAGATATTATTATTTAACAATAACAGTAAAAACTCGAGCACTGACGTTACAATAGTCGCTTACAGAACTCGCAATATTTCCGGTTTGGGATTAATCACGACAACTCGAATGAATCTGGCAGTGGCTCAGTTGTTTCTTTGAAAACTATTGCTCGAAAGCATCCCAAATAAAAAATGGTTGGCTTCTTCAACTCTCGAAAAAGGGACCTCGCTCTGCTGTTATCATACCCATGGATAGAATGGGGAGGAGCGGGTTTGACTTTAGCTACCGATTATGGTATTGCTGTAAATATGGTGGACGGGCTCGCTGACATTGAGCGCTCATGCTGATCTGGTCTTACGATTGTTTTAGCCTTTTGATCGGTTACTTGTCGGTTCATGAAATCGACTTTAAATTCTCATCCCCTCACAATTTCTGTGCAGACAACGACGGTGAAATCCGCCCGGTGTCTGAACACTATCCTTCTTTAAATATTAAATTATTACGCGCGACAGAAATACCCGCCCAGTTATTTGATTGGTTGAAAGTGGCAGTTTCTGCTTAAGGACACAAAGTACTAAACGATTTCAAAATGCACAAAACCGATACACGAATCAGCACATCCTGGGTTGATTGTACAGAGACGACCCAATACGACGTACGGATTGGCTGAAACTGCTTTTACTAGTGGAAAAACCATGTTTGGGCTCGGGTGTGTTTCAAAGGTATGGCGGATTTCACCGTCATTGTCTGTAATTCATTTATCTTGATCTCAGCTATTAATAATGCGATTCGCAGCCACCCCAATCGTACTTTATCAAATTGGTTTTATTTGAAAAGTGTATCAAATCCTTTATCCCATTCCGAGTCTAGGTTTATATAGGACCCGTGATCACAAGTTGGATCGACCCGGTTTACGCCGTAGCGAAGAGCCTACGATTTAACCGGTCACAATCAGGTTGCAATCGGTAGAGGGGATCGTTTTTCTGCCTCAGCCGCAATGACGCTTCAGCTAGCAAATCTAGCTCAGTGTGAAGATCAAGTAACAGTCACGCCAGAATGGCATCCGAAACGCGACGAACGTGACATAGTCGAAATGGACTTCGCATGTACTTATGTATTCGTTACTGATAAATCTGACAATACAATCATTTGAATTAGAGATGCATTCGAAAACGTAGGCCATCATCGCGATTCGTCCGTGTGCACTTCGAAAGCAACGATCTCACAAATGACAAAGGCAAATTATAAACCTACTCTCACGTCATAAAAGCTTTCGCGCTACAGGGAGCAAAAGATTCGATCTCTTCGAAGGATAATGCCAACGATGACGACTCAGAAGAGAGCTCTGAAGACGACATAATCTCTATTTCCAATGTGGTCGTGACTGAGTTGCCAACGTCAACATCATCTCGAGCGTCACAACAGGTTACCACCATCCAGCATCGCCGTCGTGTCATCTCCTGGATGGAAGAATACGAAAAAGCAAAGGGAGCGAAGAACATGTTCGCGAGAGCTGTAGATCAATTTCCTGATATTTTTAACTCGTCTACTCGCAATGCTAACCTTAGCAAAGCGATGGCCTGGTGGAAGAATCGAGATCAATTTCAAGCGCCACTCCGGGGTTCTGTGTCACTGTCGAGTTTACGATCAGATAGAAGAAAGCGAGTGAACTCTAAGGCTTTGTCCGGCCGAGGTCGTCCTCGGAGCAAGTGGGTGCTCTGGATATATCCTTTGTTGCTAAGCGAGTTTGATCGATTACGTAAATTGGGGTTGAAGTTCGACGCATCCTTGCTACGTCAAGTAGCTAAGCGTATCCTCCAGGATCCTCAAGCTCCAAAGGCTGATGAGAACGGGGCTGAGCTGTTAACAAAGATCACTTCACGCTGGGTGCAAACCTTTATGGAGAACAACAACATAGTACTTCGTGCGGCAACAGGTAAACGACTGGTGAGCCCTCAGAAGGTTGAAGATATTGAGAAGCAAGTGGTCTATCACCTTGGCAAGTTGAAGCGTGGGTTTGAGAGCGGTTTGTATGACGAGAATGCGATTGAAAAAATCGATGAAACTCATTTCGTTGTAGATTTTGACAACGGCAAGACTCTCGGTTTTGGAGTCGAAAACCAGGTCAAATATGCGGATGTTGTATCCGGAGGGGATGGAATGACAATGGTCGTGCGAATCAGCGGTGGGCCAAGTGCACGTATCTTGCCCCCGATGATGATTTTTACGAACGCAGACTGTAGTTATCCAATTCGTGGAGTTAAGGATGACGTGGAAGGAGTGTGTTATCGTACGAGGCCGAAGGGCTGGATGGACAAACGTCTCTTTCGCGAGTATCTGAAAGAGCCTCGAGCTCAAAAGCCGGATCGTTTAGGTCGCAAGAAGACTATATTCCTAGATAACTGCTCAAGTCACCTCGAGGAAGACGAGTGTACTGAAGAGCTTCAGAAGTTAAACGCTTTTTTAGCCTTCTTTCCAGCAAACGCAACGGATCTCTGTCAGCCGGCGGACTCATTCGTTATCGCAAAGATAAAGGACGAGTGGCGTCGAATGTGGAATGAGAGAAAGATCGAGTTGATTGAGGAGGAGGCATGGCAAAACAAAAAGAGGTCCGATGGAACCTGGTCAGGAAAACTTAAGAATCCAGGAAAGCATTTTTTCTGTCCCTGGCTGCTAAAGCAGTACGCCAAGTCAACTCTCAAAGGGACAAGAATAATGTGAACTACGCTCGGAAAGCCATGATTCGATGCGGACTCTCGCTGGATGTTGATGGTGTATGGAGAGGTGAACAGCTATTCAGCCACCTTCAAGTAATCATCAAGAAGTTTCCAGATCAATTTGCTGGACAAGCGGTTCCATTGGATATGGCAAACAAACACACAAAAAAACAAAAGAATAACCAGACCAGCTTCTCAACAATCGTAAACTAGTGTGACTAAATAGGGTGAGACATTAATTAGTCTAAGTGTGACTAATTCTACCACACCTTAAATAGTCAGAGTGCATAATTAACCACACTCATCCTAATTTAGGTAAGCAGAGTCTGCAGCACCTCACATAAATTAGTATGAGTGAGACTAAATACCGTAGCTACTGTACCGACGAGCACCCAATTAAAGCATGTTTAGGAATCCAGCCCCCATGACGGCCCCAGGAGAAAGACATGTTAATCAGCCGCAGGCTTCGTTTTCATATGACCAATAAAGTGTTCATTTCAGTTGCATCAGCAGCCTACTTATCGTGTAAAACTATTTGGGATATCATGGGGTCCAATTTAATGTCTATGCTTATTCTCATTAGATGTAAGCAGATACAGGCTCGTTTTCTTAGTTCAAAAGGCTTCAATGGTCCTTTGGAGGTTATTATTTCCCAAAAATCCTGCACTCAATTCTTGACAGGGACTATGTGCACATTATTTTCAAAATAATGTGCACACTGTGCAAGCTCATGCACAGTATCTACACAGTCTCGAGATATAAACACTGCGACGATGGGAAAGTCTTATTTGTAATAGCCATATGCAGATCAGTTTCGTGAGCAGAACAACGCCGACTTGAAGCGAAAAAGTGGGTGAAAAGAGAGTGAATGTCTTCCTTTCGAGAGCACGCGTTTTTTCGCTAAGTTCAAGAAGAAACACAATTCAAGCCAAATCTTGGAGTCATATCAAAGAGTTATATATTATATGAATGCTACCAGAGCTCTACCCTGACTATCCTGAGGCATCACTAGTTGCACCCCCAGCAGCAGCAGAATCATGAATCGCGAGGAGATTGTGGCAGAGGTATCTGTAACGAAAGAACTGCATTGCTGGTCTGGTGTTTCCTTCGACACCGTGTGGCCGTTCGTCACCAAGACGTGCCTCCAAAACAGAAGAATGTAAACGCCGCAGTTGTAGTTGTCGAGCTGGGGAATCCATTCAAACGCTTCAAACCGGAAGCGCTTAGGAGAGGGTAAAGCTGGCAGCCGCGACAGGATCTCCTCCTTTAAGTACACCTTCAAATGATTGACGCGATCAGCCGTTTCTTGAGGATCATAGATAATCACTTGACCTGTCCGGACATTAACCAAAACAGCACACCAGTAGTTTTGGCCGAAAAAAATTGTAGAGAAGAAGTACAGACTCTTTGTTGGTGTCGTTGTCTCCCTCAGAGCAGCCTCCACTTTCCCCCACACATCATTGTTCTTGATCGACTCCACATCATATACCGGAAATCTAACCACATAGGCTGGTAGTGCAAACACTTGTGCCGTAGCTTCATTCCGTACTGATATAGTCCTTATTGTACGATCAATACAAGCACATTCCAACCACTTCCTACCACATAGCGTTGTCAGCGCAGCGTCTTCACTAAGCATACCCACGTCTTTGAGTCCCTTTTTCACCGCTTCTTTAGCAAGAAGATCTTTTGTCCAGACCGAACTATCTGGCTTCCATGCATCTAAGTCAAGTGAATCGATCCATTTAATGGCTTCATCCACATCATCCATTTTGTTCAATGCGGTGTGCCAACAACGCATCGACTTCAGCGTCGAAACGTTATACAGTCGTGCACCTCGTATTCGGCGGGGTGGACCATATAGAGTCTACGAGCTGCGAATATTTATAGAGGAGCAGATGGAATCCAAATGTACTAATTTGTATTACCTTAATTAAGTACAAATATCAAATCCATCTTCGACACAATATCCGTGTGATTCCAACAGTTTCGTATGGTCATTGTCGATACATCTTGCCAACCTTCTGAGCACCACTTCATCGCTGTATAAATATTGACGGGGGTATACGTCTCACCTTTGTAAAACAGAGACAGTGTCCATGATGGCTCTGTGGCTGCCTTCCTGTACAATGTTTGCTTATTGGCGAGATTCAACGTAGAATAGGCGGACG